TATATTTATAGGTGTTCCTTAATGTCTTCCTACATACTAACTGCAAGTCACCTATAAATGTTTTCCTATTGGGTGAACCAAATTTAGGTAGTTTTAAGACTGAATATATTTATAGGTGTTCCTTAATGTTTTCTTATTACATGACTCTCAAGCCATGTACCCATCTAGTAATGTGGTGTGCCACACCAAAGCTCCCTTGGGAGAGTGACGGGTCACTCTCATGTAACCCCGTTACATTTTGGCTGCTGGACGAGTACATAAAGGCAAGGTGGCGATATTTATGGTCGCTTGTAATATCTTACAGCGTTCACATCAGCAAGCGTAACAAGTACATGCCACTACTTTTGAGCGCTCAGATATAATGTCGCAAAGTGTCCAGCAAAGCTGGCATTTGTGAAATCACAGAGCGTCAGATACCATAGTATACGAGTTTTTATTAGAGTAAGGAAAACTAGTATACGATTCTTTTTAGAGTAAGGAAGACTCGAGCAATTATCATTTCCTGTTGAGGAGAGGAACGCGCCACCCAATCAGGCTGGTCGCGGCGCAGCATGTGACGTATTACATGAAAAATTACAAAATTACGTGTGTTTACGCTTTCTTTATGTGCCGTGCACATCTACAAGTTCACAACGCATGAATGTGTAGCTTTGGCCAGGGCTCGTGGGTAACATAAAAACGCGTCAGTTTGCAACTCACACCTTTACACCGTTGACACGCAAAAATTAATACAAGAACCCATATAAAATGATGCGGCAAGTGTTTGGTATCGGCGTCGACGTTGCGCTGATCTCACGCTTTGAACGAAGCTTTGCGCGCTTCGGAGAGAGATTTCTTGAACGAGCTTTTCACCAGGAAGAAATTCACGAATTCCGGGTGCGACCAAGCGCCGAGCGCGCGATGTTTCTGGCGTCTCGATGGGCGATCAAGGAGGCAACATTGAAAGCTTTTCAGTATTACCGCTTGCAGTTTCCCGAAATCTATGCTATGCGAAGAGGCCTCGACAATTGTGTAATTCCTACCTCGTTGCCTGTGACACAGAAATCCCGGGCATTAAGACTGCAGTTCTCAGGCGCGACAGAGATTTTAGCCAAGCGACTGCAAATTGTGGTGAGGAGTGACAGTTTATATATACTTTGATTCTGCTTTCGAATAAATTGTTGAACAGGAGCCATTAGTGTCGATTTCGCACGACGGAGATTACGCTATAGCGTATGTGTTGTTGCAGCAGGAAGTGAATAGCACAGCAGAAAAAGTCGAGTGAGCCACCTGATAGAATCTACAGGCACGCACTCAGGGTATTTTTCTCCGTCGCCTCTAGTGTCTTACCTCGACTAACGTCACCTATGAAATGTAATCCTTTAAGTTTTTTGGATACAGTACCGACGATAAGTCCTGATGGGGACTTCTTCAAGCGCAGCGGCGGCTGTGATCGCCATAAATTTCGCGTATAAGACCAATAACTTGTTCCACCGCTGGCAATGAGAACGTAGAAGCAGCTAACGAGTCTCGTCGCGCTTTTTGTAACAACTGTTCCCATTTCTCAGCAGCCAAGGTGTTTGCCACGCCACGAAATTCACTCTCGTATTCTTTGCCCTGCGAGTGAGGAATTTCACGCTGAGAAAGCCAGAATAAGTATGCATTGGGCACGCATTCGGTAGCGTCACGCGGGTAACGCGCCAGATCGTGTGCTATGGAACCTTCCCACTCCAAGTACTCACCAATACAAGTAAGAAAATCCAAACGATCTGATGTCACTAACTCAGAGGCTAGTGCTAAAGAATCGATTAAAAGCAACATCGTCGCTTGCCAACGAGTAGCCTGCACGGCAACATATTTCATAAAACTTTCCTCGAGCGATCGCTCTGTAGCGTTGTTGCTATCAATGAAAAGCGTTCCCAGCTCATAACTCCGAACAATGTCGTTTAACAGTGCCCACTGCTTCTTCACAAGGCGCGTACGCAGTAATTTGTGCGGCACGTCCTGTTCGATATGGTAGTGCATTACTTGCCACAATGCGAGGAACAGTGGCAAACCTGTCGATAATATTTCGTCATCAGGATTTACATTTTCTACCATGAGATTGTGCAGAAACCTGGCGTCCAGGTCGTGCACCTCACCATAATTTGATCCTTTGACAGATACACTGCTTGCCTCCAATAGCTGTCGCATGAACGTGCGCACCTTGTGGGGGCGTATTTCCATCAAACGGTATGCGATTATGTTGATGAGGATAGACAACAATTGCAACTTGTTCTGCAGTTCAATATTTGACCGCGAGACGAGCAGCTCGCTGTCGGAATTTGAAGCAGATTTGACAATCGAGCGCATGGATGCCAGAAAGAGAAACATTTTTTCTAGCTGATTGTAGCCTTTATCACCCAACAACTGTTGCTGAAGAGCTGTCAGCATCTTGTCGTCCTTGCGAGTAGCACTTGGAGCCATGATAGCGATGTACTGCGGGTGCTTATTAATCGATTCGAAAGCAATATTCAGACTTATCGTATTTTTGAGCTCTGGAATTGGAATTTCAACGTAGAACATCGATGGTAGCACTGAGATAAGAGAAATCGGTGGAGAATTGCACTGAATCTCAGAGAATACAGCGTGCGCATGCAGATACTCCTTAGCTGTCTCCATGTTAATAGCTTTACGCAGCAACATGTAGCTGCACACTTCTGACACCAACTCGCTTGGTGCACCAGCAGCAACTGCGATGTTTCGGGCATGAAGAGCCATGTGGCCCTTTTGAATTCCTGTCACCGCAATAGCCCGGATCGCAGCAAAATTTTGCGCCAAACCGACACTCAATATTATTCCACTCAATTCACGAGCCGTCGGTTGCTGCAAAATTACGTGAGTAGCGGCATATCCTGGGTGGGTCATGAGTGCACCGCCCTTCGATCCGACAGCAATCGGCATTTCCAAGATACCGCGCAGCACACGCGTCCGAGATCCATTATGGGCATATCCAATTTCGTAGTGAGAGAGCGAGGTATATTGTCCCGAGCGACTGGCATAGCAGTGCGCAGCAGACTCGATCGCGCGCCAATCCTGTCCTGTAGCTATAGCAACAGCGTCAACTCCATTCATAATTCCTTTGTTATTGGTCACAGCGCGGTATGGGTCAATAGCGGCAAAATTGTAGGCGTCAATGATGCGACTTGCCACGTCTTCACCGTCCACTCCCTTCCAGCCAAGCTTCATCAACGGAATTTCAAACTCCGCACGAGCCCGGCGTTGCATGCAAAGATTTGTAAGAATGCGTAGACCCACACGGCTGTGTGTGATCTTTGACACTTCCTCTGATAGACCCTCTGCAACGGTATTGACAATATTGGCTCCCATGGCTTCGCACACGTCAACATCGATATGCACGACCAGAAATTGCGTATCTGCTTCAGAAGCATTGATCACGACTTCATCGTCGCATGGAGTGTACCAGGCGTTGCAAGTCGCAGAAATAACAGCAGTGCGTGCAGCCTGGCTGATCAAGCGGCAATAAATATCCACGGCACCGCCGCCACGTTTTTTCATGTTCGGGCAAAGTGTTTTATTGGCAATCTCTAGCAGCCGCTCGCGATTAGATTTGATCGCTGCAATCGCCGCTGGAATATCCTTCGTATCTAAGAGTTGGATCTGTGACGTCATGATGCTGCCGGAAGTTGCAGTTTTAAAGCCACCTCCAGCAGTAGCCACCAGTTTGGCAGCGCTAGAAGCAGCCGCCACCACCGAGGGTTCTTCCACGGCCATAGGAATAGACAAACTCTTACCATCAATAACAAAATTAAGACCGAGACTGTGGCATTGAAACAGGACACCTCAGATATCAGTCATTTGCCCAAGAACCGTAATGAACCAGACCAACTTACCCGAGTGGGACACCAAGCACACCGATGCAGTTCTCAATCATAAGATTAGCCGTGCGTAAAGGCAGTTCGCCTAGCCTGGCCGCCGGATCGGAAAGCGGCATACTGTGGATGGCACCATCTGATATTTGCTGTGTCTTTAGCGTTATCAAGTGCGGATACATCAGCGTTAGCACATCGAACCGTTCTCGTAGCGTCTTGTTATAAAATCCAGACCATACTGATGGCTGGGGCGCTGCACTCTGCTGCTGGGTGGTACCTCCCCACCCATCACTAATTTTATGACTTGGCTGCAACGGATCAAAGTGCTTGGTGACAGACTTCATACACTGGCGTTGGACCTGCGCAGCAAGCGCGGCCACTTGTGCGACCTTGTTCTGCAGCGCATCGTCACGCACCATTCCCAGCGACATCTTAAGAACTTTATGCAGTAATTCTAGAGTCTGATTTAGCATCGCATCGAGCTCCGTCTTAGGAGTCGCTAATGCTGAGACCGCACCGATGTTTGCTAGCTGGATGGTCATTTTGAAATTGCTTGGCAAATGCTCTAGTGATATGCATTATTGAACGCATATTACATTCGATTGAGAAGAAAATTCCGAAAGCAAAGAATACTATTATTGGATGACACATGATAAGAATGCTGATCAAGGACTCGTACAAATTCTTAACAAGCTCTAACCTCTTCTTTATTTTAGTCATGCGGGTTTAATTGCGTCTTATGCTCATCTACACCGAGTAAAAGTTATGATTTATCATCACGGCCGTCAGCCATTCTGACACCGGGAGTCGGTGCCAAGTAGATAAATCTTCTCTGTGTTTCGCGCGGAAAAATGTCAACAATGTCACATAGCTCCGTTAGTAAGTTATCCTGTGAAGTAAAATAAATCACACGACACACTCCCCAATCCGAGGGCAACACGCGTAGTGGGTCTCTTATCGCCACATCGTAACGTTTCTATAACAGTGGATAAATAGGATGCGTAGGATCCTTGACGATAGCTGCCCATTGCTTGCATTCAGTACTCTGCGAGTATCCACTGTGGTGGTCTCCTCCTTGACAGATGAACGGTTCAGCTCTTCCTCCGATACCAAACATTCCATCTCGGTGACTTCACCGCCATGTGATTTTTCTATCATCTCGATTATACTTCTTTCAAGCTCAATGGAAGCATCAGCTAAAAAAGGTGATGAGGGGATAATTACAACCCCTGAATTACTCATTTAAATCCATTCACGATTTAATAAAACTTTTTGTCACGAATCCGTGGATCTTCGCTGCTCCATACGGTGGGCGCGTCAGATGGTAGTGCTGACTCAGCAGTGTAGCTTTCTTGGCAAGGATGAGATATCCCGAAGGCCAACCCCTTCCATTGCGAATTGCTACCACCCATCTCCACCGCTTTTGCAAAAGAAATCACATCGGCTCTGACAGAGGAGGCATCACATTCAGCTGTTATCAAACATATACACTCTAAGTCCACGACCTTTCAGTAGCTGGTCACTACTGTCTCAGCAGTAGTATACTCCGAGAGCAGCAAAATAAGATTATTTTTTAATCATGAGATCCAGACTCACCTCCGCTTCAGCCTTCCGAGTTCTGCTCCAGACTCTTAAAAATATCGCTGCTTATCAGTTTGGATAATTCCATGTTTTGCACCGAAGCCATCGTAGCTTTGTGCGCGCCAAATGTGCTTTTGATTTCTGGCTGGAAGCGTTGCCATGTCATTGCAATTGCCTTGACAGACCTAGTACTTTTTCTTATATAGTTAACACTGGAAATCTATTTGAAAATTTCATTTGATTTGCCGAAATCATTGAGCGATGGTTATTCACACACAACGAGGCTCGAGTTGTTGTACTAAACTTATAGACATGACTCCACATGAGTCGCTCAAAACATTGGCATCATTGAACTATATAGAGTTTTATGACTTGCCGAAGTTTTACCAGGAAGAAGTGCGCGGCATCAAAGTTCGCGACTTCCAGTCCAAGCCACGCCATACTTAGAATGAAGTCATATCTTGTATCCATATCGAAGACAAGACAACGTTTCACGCAGTCAAAAGCCTACATGACTTATTCCAAGACACCCAAGGACAATACCCATATCAATGCCTCCGCGTACTGTCCATTGTTTTCAGCAGTCGCGCGCCGTATGTACTTCAACGACGCTCCTGAATTTAGTAGGACTTAACATCTTCACACAATCCAGAAGGGTGTTTTTGACAGCAAAAACCCTTGGACTGTAAACCCAACCTCCGCTTTCTGAGCTGGATACAATCAACCTAGGTTTTATTGAGACTAGAATTCATTTCTTTCCGCAGGGCATGTTTCACAGAGAAAGCTTTGGATTCAAGTCCGAGGATAAAGCGTACAGAGGCTAGTTTCGTGCGATTCGCACAGGAGCGATCCTGAGATCCTTGCAGTTACAAAATACTTAGTATGCTATGCTATCTAAGAGTGATAAATATTTTTGAAGTAATTCTCTTTAAATTATAAAAGCTTAGCTATCCTTAAGGTCAAAATTAATTTTTTGATTGATGTACCACAACCTCTCCGTGAGTGAGCCCTATCATCTCCATAAGTGACAACATTTTGGTGCCTCTTGATATTCTACTTCCACAAAATTGAGATTCTCATTTCGCATACTGCAAAGCAATGGATCTGTACGAGTGTAGGTAGACGTACAGTACAAATTTCGTTGCATCATCATTTGTATATGGTAACACCTTCTGTACTTCGCACTTAGCTCCAAGCTCAATAAACAACAGTCATACATGAACGTATATAATGGTAGGGTAGAACTCCGTTACACCCTTCTCGATCAAAATGGACACCGCACAGGTCGCAATTGATTTGCAATGGGGTACGGATCGTACAATGATTCATGTACACATTTAACTTTGGTACATACTCATCGTCCAGGTACTGATAAGAACGAAGAGAAAGAGATCTGCAAATATGAGCTGTTAGCCTCTCGTCATACAATACACATATAAAGTACCGTATGACATCTTTTTATTGATGTAGACATTACTCTCTCTATATATTTGCCAGCTTAAGATGAAAAAGCAGACGAAGCATCCGCGCGTCGCACTAGCGGTGTTCAAGCCAGGAGGCCGCGCGCTAACAGGGGCTCTCTTCTGCAAGATCTTGGTAGAAGAAGCATTTTCTTAGTGGGATTTTTGAAGTGACATGCTCGCTTCGCCTAGTCACGCGTATCCGCTTGCTAAAATTATTACCACCAATCTACGGGAAAAAGTCGGCGGGCTACTCGCAAGAGTTACAAATTTTCAAATCTCCTCGTCGACATACCCTACACGAAAACACTGATTCTGAGGGCGCCCGCGGCTTCACGGGAAGTACATCACAAGCCCTCGTCAACCGGGCCACACACACCGCACCCGCAACTGGCGACGGATTTATTCGTCGAGGATTCGAAGGAAGTCGACTATAAGTCGGATACTCTTTTCGCAGGATGGGAAGAAGAGAAGGGTGAGGTTCGTTAACGGCGCGACACGAGCCCTGCTCGAACCTCGCGAACACCGTGTTCGTTTCCCGACCTCTCAACTTCCGGGGAAGTGGTATTATTACCAATCGCCTCGACGAGGCACAGGAACAGCAGCTGCAGGCGCTCCTGTACCCTCAATTCGGGCTATTCCTGTGGTGTAGCCCTTGGCGAAACCGCTGCGAAGGATGAGAAGCTCTTTTTTAGCGGCACCGGAGACTGTCGTCGCTGTCTCACTCACAGCGAAGCCACAAGGAAGTGGACGTGCGCGTAGAACGCCATCTTTGATTTGAGTTTGACAAACTGAATATGCAACGCCAACTTCCTGCGTATTGTCGCCCTGCGACACATGGAAACATCCACCACGCTCCCGCAAGCTCTGTGGTTTCCAACACGGGTGAGTCTGCGACCGCAGCAGCTCAGGGTCACACCTTGAGCCCAGTTCATGACACTCAGCTCCCCTGGCTGTTGCAGGGAAGCGCAAAGTGTACGACGACGCGGAACGTCAAGATTCCTCTTATCATAAGCGACAACGACGTCTGGGCAGTC